AGCGAGCAGGAAGAGGAGCAATTATTGATCAAGCAATGCGATGAGGAAGTACATGTTTGATTATAAAGAGGTTGTTAGAATTAAGAAACTTTTTAGAAGATGTAGATAACCCTAATGTTCACTAACAGAAAGACTGTGGAATGACCTTGCAGAATTGGAAACTCTTGTTTTTACACCCTATATAGCCACAAAAAAAGCTGGCAATCTGAAGAATTGGCAGGAAGGTGAGAATTGAGAATGGAAGAAGGTGATTGTTTGTTCTTTCTGAAATGAAGGGCATATTGCAGAAGGAATCCTTTCTTCAATGAAGAAAAAAGAAACTAGTTTGCTAGACAGTGAGATCTTGCTGGGTTCAATATATGTAGATCTAAAACACTGAATTTTGTTGAAAGACGAATAAATTAAGAAGGGCAAAGAAAGCCATCTATGAACTTTCAATAAGAATTAAATTATCTTCAGAACAGTTGGAATATTCAAATCAGGACAGTCAAACTGCAGACATTGCAACTGAGTCTCTATATCCTCTTCCACAGATGATTAGATTTGAGAAATAGTGGTGGATAGAGTGAAAGGCCAAGGCAAAGCTAAAAATGAAGAACCAAGACCCTTTATATATAAAAATGAAAAGATACAAACAAGATTTTACATGGCCTTAATATGATGAAATAGAGAAATATGATTGTGCAAGACACCTCTTTTAAAAGTTGTAAAATTCTATCCTGAAAAGTTAAAAGAAGTAGCCCTAACAGTAACAGCTCTTTCTCCTACTCAAGTTAGTGTGGAAAGACTCTTATCAGATCTTATCATATCAGACTCTTATCTACTCAAGTTTATCAATAGATATATGGCACTCCAACAAAGAAGGCTGCTCGCTATATGGGCTTAGAATATTAATGTCAGTTTTTCATTCATATAAATCGAATTAATATAATAATTGCTATGCCATCAATTTTTTTTCCTGTAGCATCTATTACTTCTTTTATACTAAAGAAATAAGCTGTAACCCATGTGTATATGTTTACATATATGTGAGGGAGTCGGAGTAGGAGTCTAAAATTCCAGGAGTCAGAGTCAGTCCTTTTCCCTACCAACTCCACAGACCTGCTTATGTATTAGCACATCAACCGTAAAACTGTCATCAAGCAGCATGATTTACACCAGTTACGGATAAGCGTGCCATCACAATGCACTCATAATATAATATATGTGCTTTTGCTTGATGTAACCTTGATTGATTCTCAATATGCCCCATTTTGTTTTTATGAACAAGAGTGTAAATTTTGTGTTATTGCTCTATTTTTTCCTTGCATTTTGGGAAAAACATCAGTTCGAGTACTGTAGAATCACATTTATCACTTCACTCTGGCTCATCTACAGCATGTCAAGATAATTAATGTCTGTTAAATGAATAAAAGAACACCTTGCCAGCGAAAAGTTATTGCCAACAAAACAGCAATAGACTAGAACAGGGGTCGGCAACCTGCGGCTCGCGAGCCATATGCGGCTCTTTGGATGTGAAGCTGCAGCTCTTTATTTCCATACTCAATTATTTATTTTATCAAAAAAAAAAAAAAAAAACAGAGAAGAACTGAAGAAGCGCATTGAGAATTCAATCGGGATGGATGCAGTCGTTCGCTTTCATATGCAATTTCATATGCCTTGCAACTTATCTCATTGGTTTCGAAAAACTCACACACAATAAGAAATCAAATTTAGAGAGACACTACACTAAAAAACATACTCAGTTTGCTAGTAAATATCCAGCTGGCGATGAACAAAAAAAGCTGTCGATGAGATCCCAAAATAAAAACAGCAATCAAGTTCCATGTTAAGTAACGACGCAATGTACAAGTAATGTTAATCTGGCAAGCTTCGTGGTATCATTAGAAATTGCAAAAAAAAGCAAGCCATTCACAGATGGTGAGTATTTCAAAGATTGCTTCATACATGAATCTGAAGAACTGTTTTGTGATTTCAAAAACAAACCAGAAATCTTGAAAGAAATCAAAGATTTGCCACTATCCGCTAAAAACAGTACAAGATAGAAAAGCTAAAATATCTCCAAATGTAACATATTTGCAGGTGGAAGATATTCAACTTTCTTCTGCTTTATCACTTGCTATAGATGAGCTTGAACGACACGGCACAAGTTGCCCTTTTGTCAGGTAGGTCCAATATCCAAAAGAACTTATAGGATTGATACCGCTCTCAAGACAAACTATAAAATAGCGAATGTCGTTCAAAAATGCCTGAAACAAAGATCGATTAAATAATCGTTTCAATAGCAACTGATGGAGCCAGAAGTATGACAGGAAAAAATAAAGACGCAACAACGATTTTTCAGAGCAAAATAAACAACGAAATTCTTATGTTTCACTGCATAATACACCAAGAAGTGCTTTGTGCCCAAACATTTCCGGCCAAAATAGTTGAGGTTATGAATTTGGTAATCTAGATTGTTATCAGCATCTTTTCAAAAGCCCTGTACCGTCGTCAATTTAAAGAATTCTTAAACAAAATGGAGACAGTATTTTGACCTCCTTCTTCACAATAAAGTGCGATGGCTTTCCAAATGTTGTAACATTCTGCTTTGTGCAGTTGTGTTGAAACATTCTGCTTTGTGCTTGAATGAAATAAATACATTCCTAAATGAAAAAGACATTAATCACCCTAAATTAGAGAATGACAAATGGTTGCAAAAATTTTACTTTATGGTGTATGTCACAGCGATATTAAATGAGCTGAATCTAAAACTGCAAGGAAAGGGAAGCCTAACCTATATTTTAGAAGAAGTGGTTTGTTTAGAAGAAAAATTAATTCTTTTTGCAGAAGATATTCAGAGCGGTTACTTCATTTTCAATTTCTAAAGCAATATCATGATAAAAACCATTGCAACTGTTGACACGAATTACTTTAGCACAGTTACTAAAAAAATTAAAGATGAATTTGCTGACAGATTTGAATAATTCAAAACCAATAAAACCACTCTAGCATTCATAGTAAACCCTCTCAACACAAAAAAATAGTAACGAAATGCACACTGAGCCATTTGGAATTGATACCGAATCTCTAGAAATGCAATTGATCGATTTAAAAAGTAAAGCTTTGTGGAATGGAACATTTAGAGAGTTGAAAAGCAAGTTGGAAGAGATTGGAGGTCCAGAAATGAATGTATGTAATACAACAAAAGTGGACAGCTTTAAAAGGAATGCCGCGAGTTGAGGCACTTATATTCGACGAATGAAATAGTCTTCCAGATTCCTACAGTGAGGTGAAGAAGTTGGCATTTGGAGTGCTGACTATCTTCAGATCGGCATATTCGTGCGAGCAAGCATTCTCTTGCATGAATATAAATAAAAGTACAGTAAGAAGCCAACTAACAAATAAAAATTTAGAGTCGTTTTTGAAACTTAAAACAACCAGTTATGAGCCAAATTTATCCAAACTTTCTAAAACCATGCAAAGCCAATGCTCCCATTGAATTTGTTTGCTCAATTGTTTTTTTATTGAGTACCAGTTAGTGCTGCAAATGTTAATTGTTTTAATTTTTTACTTAAATAATAAGCAATATCTAATAATGCCATATATATATTATCTAATTTGTTGTGAAAAACCTATTTATATGAATAAATGATATTTTTCAATAGATATTTTTTTCTTATGAATAAATAGATTAGCTTTTGTTTATCAAAAAACTTTTTTATGCGAGTACTATTTATTGTTGGCAAGAAAAAATTTGGTGGCTCTTTAAAAACATTGAAATTTTGTAAATTGTAATTTTTGACTCTTCGACTCAAAAGGTTGCCGACCCCTGGCCTAGGAGGATGGCCTTTGCAACAGATATGCTAAGAAGGATAGAAGATTATGCTGAATTTCTAAAGCACATAATGTTCTCCGATGAAGCATCCTTTCATCTTTCTGGCATTGTTAATCGTCATAATATGCACATATGGGGATCTGAAACCCCCCATGAATACCGTGAGGCATTATATTGTCTAATTTGTTTTGGTGGCTCTTTAAAAACTTTGAAATTTTGTAAATTGTAATTTTTGACTCTTTTGACTCAAAAGGTTGCTGACCCCTGGGGGGGGAGTCGCGGCGCGCAATGAACTGCAAGTTGATCTGTCAGCACTATCCTTATCTTCAGGGCAGATGTTTTTATTTTATTCGGCTTATAATTCCTTACTAAATGTAGTATTCCATTTCAACGTACTCCGTCTTTGATATGATTTAAATCAAATTCCTCATCATTATAAATATCACGAATACACAGCAAATAGTTTTCTGGTTGCAATTTTCTAATTTTGACTATGCGTAATGTATGCGTTATGCATGCGCGCATTGAAAGAAATGTTTAATAAAGTAAACAAATAAATATTAAGCTTTTCTTTTTTTTGTAAATTTTGATACCCTTTAGATCATAATTGCTCTTTATTTAATAAATTATGGTTTCATATTTTTAATTTTATAATTTCTGCATGCCATCTTACCAGATTTAAATTGATGATCTATAATCCAGGAAAACCGCTAATTCGGAATCGCAGAAGTCCTGACGAATCCGGATTAAAGACTTTTGACTGTATTAAAATTTAAACTGATATTTTTTCATGGCAACTGCATTCTTATTAGTTACGTAAAATAGCTATATAAACTACAAAATCATTTCCCAGGAAGAACATCAGATTTTTTTAAAGTAATTTTTAGGCATTTGTAGGGCTTTTCTAACTTTCTCTATTTTAATTACTTTATTTCATTAAAGACAAGTACAAAATAATAAAAAGAAAGCAAAATTTTAATTCAGTGACCAAGAAAGAATGAAAAAGGAATAAAATCACATCATAAAGCTAAATAATAACAAATTTTATATACAAAGAAAATCTCAACATAATCCTTAATCTATGGCTTACTTCCACCTCTCTGCATCAAAGACAGAATCTGATCAGCATTTTCAACAATATGTTCTGACAAACCACAAACAATAAGGTTCCCAAACTAGAAATATATATACACAAGAAAAAGATTAACTACAATGATATGTTTTTAATATATTAAAATGTGGAGTATCAGTAACCTCCGAAATGATGCAAAAATAACAAAGTATGTAAATAAAAAAAATCAAAATACTACATCAAAATGAACAACCAAAACAATTCTTCACAATGTGGAGTATCAATAAACTCCATACATGTATTTGAAAAATACTAAATGATGAGGGAAATATGTCTACATTTTGAAGAAACTTTCCTTTCCTTTCCCCCCCCCCCGAATGTTCAGATTGATGTAGAAAATGGTTCTATGCAATTGTTTGAAATTTGCATTCATGGTTTGAATACTGCATAGTATCAGACATGTTCATCTGCCCTGCTAATTAAGTGAAATGGGGAATTTTATTATTTTTCTCCATCCATCTGATTAAGGCAAAAATAGTTCAATCTGACTGTTCTAACAATTTGGCCATTTGCCATTGATTTCTTCAATTTTGCTTAAATTCTAAATTTATTGTTATTGGTTTTCAAACTTTTTTTTGCACTTTTGTAATACTTTAGAAGATTATAATTTAATTACTATATATGTGTGTGTGTGTAAGAAAAATAAAGAATATGTAAAAAATTACTTAAGAGAAATTAATTCTCTTGTATTCTAAATATAACTTTATTTACATTGTCATTTGAGAAAATCTATGTCATATACTTACATAATATGATGATAATGAAACTAAAAACTCAAACAGCCAATAGTAATTTTACAGCAATATTAACCATCTAATCAAAATGCATTGAAAACCGAAACTAACTCAGTCTGAATTAAGATTTCACCCTTTCACCTCTTTGGCTTAGCTGGATAGCTGTCTGTCTGTTCCATCTTTTTTACTGCAAATCTATCGAAAATGTAACCTTTTTGGAATAGGCACAATAAATGTGCCAACTTGTCTGTGGCCACAACATGTTTCTGAAATAAAATTTGGATTAAATATACGTTGACAGCCAAATATTTTATTCATTGTGGATCGCGTTTCAGCATCCTATGACATCAAAATTCTAGCTGTTCATTGTGGATACAACCACCTGTGTTCTACTACAAAATCTATCACACACACACATATATATATATAGTGTGTGTGTGTGAAAAATGAAAGGTTATATATCTTTAAAGCCCCAGGATATTTCAAGATGTACAAAAAATACGTATAGCATTACAAAAAATTTATATCTGCATGTATAAAAATTTTCAGTGCATAAGATGTGGCTTCAAATATGTTTTATGTTGTTTTAACTCTCTCCCAACCTTAGATCAGTCTTCCATTTTTTTTTTTTTTTTTTTTTTTTTTGATGATTGACTTTTCCCCACGTTTTTACAAGTTCAAATGTTAGTTTATAAATTTCATGGAATTTTTCTGCATATAAAAAGTACATATTATTTTGTTTTAGCTTGTTATTTAGGTTTACATTATTTTAAATAAGATACATTTTTTCCCCCTGAAAACTCAAAATAAATCTGCAAACTAAAGAAAAGACCGGATTCATATTTTAACAAATTTTATCTTCTATCTAGCTTTTCAAATGAATATGACACACCTATATTATGTCTATTAGTGAGTTAGTGACTTATTAGATTCTTAAACAAATGCGAAATTCAAAGTTTGAATGAAAACAGAGAAGTAAAACTACAGACTTAAAATTTATTACATCAAAATAGACTGACAGAAATGAGACTAATTCGAGAATCCCCTAAGTACAGAATATAAAAAAAGACACCAAATTAAGTAGGACGAAAATCCAACTCTGGTGGGAAGTACTCCCCTCTCAAATTTCTTATAGAGATTTTCCTTAATGTAAATAATTCAAACTTAAATGTCCTTACATAAAAGAACATCTCTTCAAGTTAAATCAATGACAGATTGTAATTCAAAGTAATTCTAAAATTAAGCACTAAATCAGCTTCAATAAAAGCAATGTTTTATGCTCTTCTTTAACTCACTTTTATTAGTTAATTAATTACATTATTTTTGAAGGAATGTCTTCCATTTTGTGAAATGTGAAAGAACAATTGTATGAATAAACTGAAGTTTTAACTGGTTAGTACTGTAAAAGCTCAACTAACCAGAAAGCTTGGGAAATGCCAAATTCCAGATATGGTAATATATCAGATAGTTTGGCATATAAAAAATGGAATTCACATTAAAAAAGCTAAATGAATGGGGAAAATTTCTGCACCAAAATTATAAAAACAGTTATATTATTTGTTATCAATCTGAATATCAAAAGCCTACATTTAAAATTATATAAGATTTCGGGGAGGGGGAATGCATTTCAGACAAAGCTCATGTATTTTGATTATTATAAAATCCTGCCAAAAATAAAAAGTTGGCGGAGCTGCTGCCAATCATTCTGGTAGAAGTTTAAACAAACAGATCATTCTTTATTTCATTAGATCATACCATTTATGTATGTACCATATAAAGAACTTAAATCACTTTTCATAATTTTTCACATTACATAGCTATTGCTTATCTGTTTTCAAAGTCATTGTACTGCAGTTTTTTTTTTTTTTTTTTTTTTAATGCCTGGGTTCTGTAACTTTGAAAATACTTCATATCATGCAGTCCCAAATATTAATCATTTTTTCAAAATGTAAGGAAAAACTGGAACTTATATCATCATTTTCAAAATTTAAACTTTTGGTTTATTTGATTACTGCAAAACACTCTAGAGCTATCTGCCTAAGGGCCTATCTGTATACACATAACACATGAAGAAAACCACGAAAATTTCCACGCAGCCAGCCTGTTCACCAGGAGTCAAACACTGGACTGAACTAATGTTGAGTGCCTTAGTCAACACTCAGCTGCTAATGGGTCTCAAGATTTAATAGAAGTTACATTAAACCACTGAATGGCCCGGGTTTTTCAATCTGTCATAAAGACCTATATTTAAACAGCATATATTAACTAAATTTGTAAAATTATTTTAGTTTCTATTTTCATAAACTTACATTCATTAAGATGACATTAACATTATTAAAGAAAGTAAGAAAGCAAAATATCTTAAATTATAAGCTAATATATACCAAGTGATAAAAAATCTCATGACCAGATAAAGCAGACATGCCACTCCAGAGTGTTAAACTGAAATGAACTTACTATGATTGTGTTGTTATCTTATGCTTTATTGGCACTATGTACAGTAATAAAAACCTTACAAAGCCACCAAAATTTACACTAATTAAAAAAGACCACACTATATACTAGCTTGCAGTTTTTCACAAGTGAATTTGATGATTCTTAATGTGCAATTTCAGAACTATCCTAGACTGAAAAATACATAGAAAACATACCTCTAGGGGACACAGCAAATTTTCATTTAGAACTTCAGATTTGGAATAGGTTTTTTAAGGTCACAATCTCAAATTTTTATCAATAAGAAATAGTATAGTAACTTTCTCAGAATGTATCTAATAAAGTTATCTTGAATTAACATCAGTTACAGTTTTAATGTTATGATTTATTGTATCGGAGCTTATTTAGGACATATGTCAGTTGATTTGGGTTTCAATTTCCAATCCAAGCAGAGGTAAATCAAAATACCATTTACACTGTATAAAATTTCTCTGAAGATTCTCGAGCCTAATAGCCAATTTTCAATTACCGTATTTATGCGAATCTAATGCGCATCCCCATTTTAAAACTTTAAATAATAAAAAAATTGTTTGTCGGCAAATGTAATGTGCATCAATGATATGAGGAATTTATTGAATCTTATTTAATACAACAATGGATTTTTATATAAACTATTAATTAATGGTATGATAATTTTACTTAAATTTAGATACCATATTTTATACAACAATGGATTTATACATAAAGTAGCAGAACATAGAATTAACCTATTAGTGGGCTATTGTCATGTGAAACAATCATTGTTAATTAGCACTACCGTATATACGGTACCTATCGTAAAATATGAACATGAAATAAATCGTAACATTTCTATCTAGCTAACAGTTTCTACAATCAGTGATTAATAGTAAACATCTTTATTCACTAATGTTTTCATCACTGGAATCCTTGCAGCTCTCTTCGTCAGAAGCAGATTCATTTCTTCTTTCCTCATCATCGTCATCGTCGGCGTTCCAGAGCACGTCATCGTCACTGCCCTTCAATGAATTTGAAATGCAGCATTTCTTGAAAGATTTCACAATCATTGGCACTTCGATGCTTTTCCAGGCAGCAGAAACCCAGTGTGGAACAATGTGCGGTGCTGCACGCTTAATTTTTCCTGTCGGGGTCAATACACAGTTTGGCTCACAAAACCATTTTTCGTACTCCGCCTGAACGTACCCCTTAAAAGGTTCATTTATACTAACATCCAAGGGTTGTAACACAGACGTCATCCCTCCAGGAATGATAACAAGATCACTGCCTAGGCTGTGCATCTTCTTTTTTACGTCGTCGGTGAGATGACCACGAAATGCGTCCAGACAAAGAATTGATGGTGGATTAGAGAGCCCACCGGGACAGCGTTTCCATACATTTCGGAGCCAATAAAGCATTAATGATTCCGTCATCCACCCCTTCTCTTGGTTTCGAATCAGAACATCATCTGGGAACAGCTTTTCATAGGGGTTTTAGGGCCTGTTTTGTGTTTGAAGATTAAGAAAGGGGGAAGTTTGCACCTGTCTGCTGTTATTGCCAGCATCACTGTTACACGTTGTTTTTCACATCCCGAAGTTTTGATGATAACTTCCTTAGACAAAGCATTGATGGTGGATTAGAGAGCCCACCGGGACGGCGTTTCCATACATTTCGGAGCCAATAAAGCATTAATGATTCCGTCATCCACCCCTTCTCTTGGTTTCGAATCAGAACATCATCTGGGAACAGCTTTTCATTCTTAGGGGTTTTAGGGCATGTTTTCTGCTTGAAGATTAAGAAAGGGGGAAGTTTGCACCTGTCTGCTGTTATTGCCAGCATCACTGTTACACGTTGTTTTTCA